TTAATAAATATTAGATTAGGTGGAATTAAAGTTAAATGAAAAAATATAAATTTACCTTTTACCTAATTAACTACTCCAGCTGTTTCTGCTTTTGTTTTTCTCTCTCAGTTTCTTCTCTAAAAATTAACATTTCAATTTTAATTAAGCTTGGATTTGGCAGGTGGTGGCTCTTTTCGGCCAAGTTTTCTGCTTTTTGGCAACTTTCAGATGAACGATTCGTGAGCACGCAACTCCAGTCAGAAAGCTGCCGCTGCTGCTGCTGCTGCTGCTGCCGTGTGCAAAAACTATTAAAACAGGTGGCCAATACACTCAAGCAAGAAAATATATATATATGTAAACGTATTTTTCCATTACGAAAACATGCAACTGGTTGACTAATTTTCTACCCACTTTTCTTATCCATTACGCCCCATCTTTTCCAAAGGAAACTCTCCCTTTCTCCGTCTTTAATTTGATTAGATTTGATGGCCGCCCGGCGATAAAAAATAGTTCTATATGGTAATAAACTTGGTGTTTGCCCTCGGGCGGGGAGCTTGAATACTTTTCAAAATCTAAATAATCACGCATTTTCGAGACTGTGTGTTTTTGATGGTTTTTTAATTTTATTATTTGCCTGGTGAATAAATGATGCGTGCTTTATGGCCCCGCTGATGGATGGGGCTGCCAAAGGCGTAGAAAGCTGGGCCGGCAAAGGGTTAAGGCCAGCGTGAATGGTTATTTATGCTAGCGTGAAAATGGGCATTTAAAAATGTGTTTTAATGAAGGTTTTAATATCATGGCTAATGATTTAAGTAATTTGCGTAGTTTTCCAATACATTTAATATTTATTTTAGTTTTTATGCTGTTAGTTTTTCAGCTCTTAATTATTTTTTTTCCATTAATTTAAGCTTTATCCGCTTTGGAAGTTCCATTACTCTGCTTTTAATTAGTTAAAAATGCATTTTAATTAAACGGACACTTGCCTGCGGATTAACAAACCGCAAAACAAATTGAATTTATATAGAATTTAATATTGATTAAAGTTAAAATTCGTTTTGCAGTCGAGTTCATGGAGGTCATTAGGTAAAAGAAAGCTGGCAAATCGATTGGATTTTCCTTCTATTTCCCACACTTATCACTCTTTTTCTGGTCATTTCTCGCCTTATTTTTGGACCAAGAACATATTTTTATTTGGCTGCCTGGAAGTTTGCGCCGCGCGTCATTTATAAGCCATTTAATCATCGGGCATTCTTGGCCTTTCAGTTCCGTCAGCTGTCGCTGCTGCATTTTGCTCGAATCTCCTGCTATTTTTAGAGATTTTCTTCGGCGATTCTGGCATTCTCCAAAAGAGCAAAACTCTCGCAATTAGTCAGCTGCTTGTCGCCGAGAAGTGTCAAAATATTTTTGCTAGCAACAGTTTGGCTTTTCCTTATTTGTTTTTCTGTTCTTTTTTCAAATCTTTTTTTTTTTACTCAGCATTCTATTTTCCCTTGCATCGAATCAGAGAATGTGTGCAAGTTGGCTATAAGCCAGGGGGTGGAGAAAAGGGGGAGGAATATATAGGAACAGAGGTGTATGAAAATATAGGGTTATTACTAAGATATTATGTTTGAAATGTAAAAATAGATCAATGACTTTGGTGGCATTTTAAAATGTAGAAAAATGTTTTAATATTTATTTTAATATTTCTTTCTTTTTCAAAGTATTTTTAAGCCAAATTACCTCTGTAAAAAGTCTTATTTTTCCTTCACTTCATTTATTTTTATATAATCTTAATAATTTCTAACTAATAAGATCGTAAAATACCTTTTACTACCCCTATTTTCCTGCCCACATCTGTTTGGATGTGTGATTCGCCGTGTGTCGTGGCCAAAATGTCACGTATACGTCGTGTGGCCTGCCACAGAATCTGCTTCGCCTCCTTCACGATTTTCACGCCTGTCTCGCGCTTTTCCACTTTTCCTCTTCTCTTTCGCCTTCTGCCTTCAGCCTTTGGTTTTGGTTTTGCTTTTGTTTTGGTCGACTGAAGGTAATTACGTCATTAACAAGAAATTTGGAAAGTGCTCGTCATATCATTTGCTTTTTGGCTTGTGTCAACGGTTTTCTCCGCGGGGGTAATTGCCGGTCTGTTTTTTGAGGTAATGAATAGGTTGGGCCACTGTGTTATGGTGTTAGAAACGAGCGGATTATTGGCACAGATTGTAAACTATTAGCCATAATAAATTGGGTCAATTTAAGTCTTAGAAACAGCAGCGAGTTTCGAGAAATTGAATTCTGGGAAAGAACTTTCCGTAAACATATACAAAGTCCATTGAATTTGCTTCATTTGTTTGTTTATTGAACATTTTGAAGGACTTTAAGTGGGTTATTAAGGTGAGCTAGTAAGTGGGTTTAGTTATGAGCCCAAACAATGTATGAAATTATAGTCATACCTCTTGCTTATTAGACTATTTCTGGCCTCTTTTGATATATAACTTCTAAGTAAACATAATTATCCTAATAGGGGATTGTTAACCAAACAATTTCCCTACTTCATTGGCAGAGGTCTGCCTTCCCTAAACAACCCACTTTTCCAAGTACCTTTTGCATTTTTGATTATTTATTTTTGCCCGCCTTCGGTGTCGCCTCGTTATTTGTTCTCTAATTAGATGTCGCAGACATTAACGAACATTTCCAGGAGCCACTTTGCTTTTTGCTATTTTTGCCTTTGGCACGCCTGACTGGCCACGCCCCCCCGACCAACAGATACCATGGGCGGGCTGGGCTCTAGGCTATTGAACCCACTCAATGCCACTCAACTCTACCTGTCTGTACATCAACGCAATATCGCTGGCCTTTGATCTGGAACTTGGTTGCCCACAATTTGTCGTCGCTGTCGTCGTGTCTGGCGCTGACATTGATTTTGATTGCAAAGTTTGATGTTTGCATATGCAACTCATTAATGCAATGCCACTTTTGCAACTGCAACTGCAACTTCGACGTTGCACAGAAGAAACTTTTCCTCCACGCATTTAATTAAATAAGTTTTCTGTTAACAACTTTGTGGTTGTTTCTTTTTTGGGTTGAGAGGGGAGTGGCTGTTTCTCTTCTTAGATTGACAACAATTTATCAAAAACTATTAAGGCTGGCGCCATTTTATGCAAATCACTGTGTACAGTGAGTGTCATTTGTATGCAATCGCCTGGCTCTTTCGGTGTGTCTGGCTCTGTCAACCGGCATTAGCATCAGCATCAGCATCGCCATCGCCATCGCCATCATAATCATATTTCCAGTTCACTTATATAGAGACAACACCAAAAACAAGGCCACTGCAGAGTCCTCTTTGTTGGGGGATGCAGAGAGAGAAAAGCTGGAAAATCAGGAAAATATTTTAATAAGTTTTTCATAATTCATATTTCTTTGTGAAAGTTGATTTAAAAACTAATAAATCAAATATTTATGAAATTTTAAAACTAAAATTGTCTTCAAAAACCAATCAAAGGGAAAGCCTTTTTCATTAACTTTCTTCATAGTTACTCTCACTTCTTTTTCCTGACATAAGTATCTGAGTTTCTCCCCTCAAATTCTCCATGTTTTCCCGTTCTTTGTTGTCAAATCGCCTCCCTCTTTTTGCCATCCCAAGCCGGGGGGTTATGTTTTTGAATAGCCATTTTAGAAGTCAACAACAGCTTATAGTTATGACTCCGATGGCCCCCAGTAATTGAGTTGCAGCTGAAAAAGGGGGCATGGAAGGAAGAGGAGGTACTTGGGCTCTTATGCAAAGCACTCCATGGCCATAAATTGCTTGGGCTTGACTTGCTTCTTGCATTGTTTAAGCCAAATTGCTTTCAACGACAACAGCTCGAACCATACTCAAGGGGGATCGAACAAGAAGCTATCTCAACACTACACACTGCTAGACTTTATCGCCCGATTTAGCATAGCTCACATATGGGTAAATAAATAACGAGAAATATACAATTTATTGAGAGTGAGAAAGAAGTTTTTTCTGTATGCAATTGTATGTCAAAGTTGGTTTTATTCTCGGACATGGAAACCAGTTTTCCAAGTCGTGTGGGGGCAGTTGGGGTAGAAAGATTGCAGGGGCTTTGTGGAGGTCGTTTTGGAGTGGTCATCTCAATCAGTGTCAGTGCAGCTACTTAAGAGCAGTGAAGAGTTTGACAAATGATGGCTCGAGTGTCGATTTCCTTATTGGGATGGCGGTAATCTTAGAGGAACTGCCGGATAAGTCTATAAAGTAGCTGAGAAATGAGGAAGTTTTAATGAGGGATGTGTGGGAGTTAGCTTAAGATATATACTTAGAGTCTAGTACATAGCTGAATGATAGTTTGCCTCTATATAATCATTTATTTTCCAATATAATTTCAATCGCTTTTCAGCTAACCACATAAATTAATCATTTTTGTGCGTTCTTCTGATGGCAAAAACTGAAATCATTAATGCAATCAACAGGCCAGCCAAGCCAGCCACGCCCTCTATTGAAAACAGAAAAACAGAAAGCAATTTTCATGCCTCACTGAACACTCAAATAGGCGCTTTTTGCTAAATGTTATTATTTGATCATTTCCACAAACAACAGAATTAAAAAGAAAACTGAATTATACCGCTGGATTATGGTGGGTATGGTGGGGGGAAGGGAGGGAGGGAGTTTACCCCCTCTCCAGCATACCCAAAATAGTCTCCGAAATGCATTTTCTATTTTCGGTTGGTGTAAAATTTAATTTTGTTGATTATTCATTTGGGGAAATGCAGTCAGTCGCCGTTCCCTCTCTCGGGGGTCACCCTGTTTATTATGGGCGACCACGCTCCGCTGATTTATGTTCATTTATAACAACGAAATCTGTGTTTTGTTTCCTCTGTTTTCTCTGTTTGTTTGTTTGTTTTGAAGTTTTCCCAACTTGATGGGAGCCATCATTATGCAATCACCGAATGTCACTTAATAAATCTCTCACATTTCAGCGCAATTAAGTGATTTGTTCGTGGAAATTTATTTATTTATGTTTTTCCAACTTATTTTTCAGGCGTCACCATGCGCGAGAAGAAAGGCGGAGCCCTGCAGAAGCTCAAGAAGAGGCTTTCGCACAGTTTTGGAAGATTAAGTAAGTGGAAATTGAAAAATATTATTTGAATCTTTACTAAGGAAATGCCGCCTTGATTTGTCAATATTCTTTGGAAAATCTCTCAATCAGTTGAGTCATTCTTTGTGATTTATCTGCCATGTGGGTGCAGTTTCTACCAAACAATAGTTAGTTATGGTAATGCAATAAGCTATATATATATCTTATATATATATATTTACGATGTGCTTTGATGCAATCGAAGTTGCGGCTTTGGAAAAACTTGTTTAAACGCCATCACGAGGCGTTGAGGAAAATGTCAAATGAGTAATAAAGCTGAAGCTGCAGCTGGGAAAGCTTAAATGAGAAGTTGTTGATTGTATTTAAAAATATAAAACCAATCTGTAACTAGAATAAAGTGCTTATCCCTACAAGCTTTAACTGAGCGCGATTCCCCATTCAAAACATCAAGTTTTTTCCCATAGCTGTTATGAATTCAAAACATTTCCTGCCCTAAAGAACCGAACCCCATCAACTTTCTGTCTCGAATTTTTGCATTTAAACGAACAAAAACAGCCATTCTTTGGCTCTGTCCAGCTTTTTCTGAACCGAAAACACAATTTGCAAAAATAAAAAAGAAAATTTATGGTTAAAAAACTTCAATGCTGGCCAGACCGCAACAGATACAAAATACTAACAGAAAAAAATGGAAAAAAATAAAATAAATTCACATTTTCCGACAGAAAACTTATCGATTGCTGTGCTGGCATGGCGGGAAAGCTTTTAATGGTCTAAAAAAGCATTTTGATGGGCTGTCAGTTCAGGTGAGGGCGGGCGGGGTAATTGAATGCACTCCTTCCCAGTCAACTGCAATTTGACAGACAAAAGAGCCCCCAAATATGCCAAAAATCGCTGGAAGTGTAAACAAATTTTGATGCATTACTTGGGTCTCCCTCTAATGTTTTGAATTTCATAAATTTTGCCAGAGATTTTAGTGGGTTTATTTAGGCCTGACATGGAAACCCGTATAGTTTGCAATCGTCTATGTTGACTCACTGAAAAACCCGTTTCGGTTGCTTGATTTTGCGGCATGCGGCTAATTGTCTTTCAACGCCCACGCCGACGGTTTTTGTTTCTTTTTCGGTTTTCATTTAGCTTTGGCTTTATTTCTTGTTCCAGAAACTAGTTCGTCGAACAGCTGTTTTTCTTCCCATAATCGGAGCGATTTTGTTTGCTGTTTTTTTTTCGCTCGCTAGTCAGGGGCGTAGTCAAAGATATGGCAGTGGCGGGAAATATAGTTTGAGTGCCATAGTTAAGCCCCTGAATAGCTGACTAATGGTCTTGATTGCCTGGAAATCTAACCATATTTGGGTTGAGCATTTAATTGACATTGCGAGTGGCGGCTTTTGTTTTGAAACACCAAAAATATGGGACTTATATGGTCTGATATGGTGGTAAAAAAGTCGTTAAGGGCTTCCAAGAAAACTACCTTGTAAAGGAAGTTAAAGATTGATCAAATCTGTGAATATGTTTGCTGGCAAATATTTCACCAACTGATTTCCTTTCATCAATCAAACTAAAAATTCTCTTTTCGCATTTTCCAAGCTTTCAACGGATGTTCAGTGAGCAATTTTACTATTTCATTTCGATGAAAGATGAAATTTTCAGCGAATTTTCATCGCACCACACACTCTCTTTGCAGTTTCCTGTTTTCCAGACCCCTCCCTTCCACCCATCAGCAATTGGGCAATCCTTCAAGCGGAAACAATTTCAAATGCAACTTGATCTTGCATTGAAACAATTTCTCACGATTTTGCCATTTGGGAGCTTCTGCCTCGCCCCGCCTGGGCTCATAAATGTTGCATTACCTCCCCTCCTACCACCGGAAAAAATAAAAAAGAACTACTAAAGTTGACTTTATTTCGGAGGAAGTTTAAATGTTTTCATTGCATTATTGAGGAGCTTTGTGCAGCAGCTGCTGTTGCATCTGGATAAGAGGGGGAGCAGGAAAATAAAACCAAAGAATGTCACTCTAGTTGCAAGTTGCAAGTTGCTGGTAGTTGGCTGCCAAGGCCATTACAGCAGCCCACTAACTGTAGTTGCCAGTCGTTGGACTTGTCTTGGCTGTTTGTCAGCGAACTGATACTTGCAGCTTAACCATCGTTAATTGCCGCACGAGCTGCCGCCGCTGCCAGTGCTTGTCTTCCCTCGTTTTTAATTACAACAAGCTAACTCTCTGTGTCTGTAACTCAGTGTGGCTCCTAAACTGCTTCATTCGCCGGCCATAAAAGTTATGAAGTTATAAGACGTTGCACAAGAAATTAACTACATGCACTTGGAAAAAAACTAACTAAGGTAATTTAACTTCACTTTCCTTAAAAACAATTTGAATTTACCCTAAAAGATAAGATTTCTCTCTTTAGCTTAGCACTAGCTTAACAGTTTGAGAATCATTGAGAGAGGGACTGAAAGACTTTTTGCCCTGTGTAGCTGGTAGTTAACCGGGGAATTTACAGCATTTCCTCTTCAGACTTTGATGAGAGCAGTCCATAGATCAGAAAAGTACAGAACATATATATATCTATATATAAGCTTCCTGCTCAGATCGAGATTTCTTTGTCATCTTCCCTTTTTCCTCGTTGAGCTGCAGTTAACTAAGAATGATTCATGAGAGTCAGGGTTCTGGTATTCCTTTTCTTTCATGATTACTATAAAGTGGTTTTACGATAAGAAAACAAGCTGGCAGTTGTATTTTCTTGTTTGCAGACCTGAAAGATAAATGAATTCATATCAAATTTCATTAAGACCAAAAGAAATATACCCTGTAAACTATTTTGCTAAGAAAACAGATACTAATCTAGCTTTTCAAACCCCAGCAAAACCACTCGAATCTGGCAAACTGGACTTAGACAAGCTTTGAACTCCTCCAAACTCAAGTGAGAAATCCTCAACTTAGTTAACCAACAATTGTGACACTTATCCCGGCTCCTTCCCGGCTCCTTCCCAGCTTTTTTCCCTAAGAAATAGAGGATAACTTTAGACGAGTGAAGTGAGATTCTTGAGATAACTCGAGGCTCCTTGACTCCTTTTTGGTGTAAATATTTTATGGCGTCGAATGTCCGACTTTGACACTTGCTTGTCGGCTATATCGTGGCCATCGCATCATCCTCGTCATCATCATCATCATGGAGGAGCATCCTAGTCAACATCCTTGTCGTCTCTATTTCTTTGTGCCACTGATACAGTTCTCTCTCTGTAGTGTTTCACCTCGCTCTTTGCCATTACTAGGTTTTTCATGTTTTTCTCGTTTTTGCAGGCTTGTCATAATCCTTTCTGATAACATTTTATGTCACAAGCCATGGCCAAACACACTCGACGTTGTCTATGGCTTTAACCCTTGACTGGTGTCCGTCCATCTGGCTGCCAGTCCCATTTGCCACTTGATAACTTTACACTTGAGCTCACTGTCGCTGCTATTTTCAGACCTACAACTCAATGGTGAAAATAAAACAGGAAAATCTGTATGGCCTGGGATGGGTGGAAAAAAAAAGAAGAAAATGTATATAAAAGAATCAGCAGCCGGAGACGAAGCGCGATAAGCAGCTAATGGCCGCCGACTGTTGATGCTGCCTCCAACGTCTCGCTTTTATCTCCCCCAGAACTCCATTCCGCTCACCCACCCTCGATATGGCATCTCCCCTGCTCACTTTCCGGGTCTTTTCAATGCCCTCCGATGGGCTAAACTGGACTCTGCCCGCATATGTGCTGCTGTTACAGTGATAACTACTTTGAGTGGATCTGTACTCCTCTTTGAGAAAGATACATGGGTTGAGTGATGTTTTAGAGCTAAGGAAATGCGGGTCAAATGCGGCTTTAACCTGATAAGAAGTGATTAAAAATCAATTTAAAACTGATTCACTGTCCAATAAGGTATCGATCTTAGTTATCGAGTTATCACTGTACCATCACAGTCCATTCAAGTGCCACTGAGCAGATTCCGCTATCAGAACACGCATCGTTTCTCGCTTCTCGTCTCGCTTTCTCATCGCCTTTCAGCATTGTATTTGCTCTCTGATTTGTGAAGAAGCAGAGAAACGTTGGCCCCGCCCACCCGCAAGAACCTTCCGCCCCCAAAACGTATCTAAAGACTTGAAGTACGTATACGAATATGTGGACAAATCCGCTTTGGTGGCCCGTTTAATATGTCATGTCATTGATATGAAAGGCTCTTTCAGTGGGTTTTAGTTTTATTTTCCGGCAGGCAGTCAGGCAAGATGATCTCCGCGACGGCCACACGGCGTATGAGTAATCACGCACATGACCTCTCGCTCGCTTAAGCACATTTAATGCAGTTTTTTCCCCCCACTAAATGTTGCACTATTAAATATGTTTATATATGGCGAAAAATATCCATATATGTTGCCAGCGCAAAATCCATAAACCGGAAGATTTTTTTACGCCCTCAGCGCGTTGAAAAGAAATTTATGCTGGTATTTTCTGGGTTTTATTACACGAATTTCTGAATTTCTGAGTTTCTGAGCAATTTAGTGAGGCCTCTCACGTGAAGGGTTTTCCTCGATTTTTCCGTGCTTATGCTTGTGACATTGATGAGTGGCACTGGGCACTGAACTGTACGCGGGGTTAATGGTACAGCAGGGTTAGGGCAAATAAAAAGGGTTGTTTTCGTTGGGAATTATGTGAATTTCATATTTAAGTTTTTGATTTAGATTTTTGTGGATTTATTGAGGGCCAAACAAGATCCTAGTTTGCCAGTTTTAGGATTTAAGGCAAGGCCAAAGCTATTAAAACCGATTTAAAGGCCTTTAAAAAACTGAAAACTTATTCAGGCCAGCTTCTCGGTAACTAATTTTATGACAAAACGTCAGCTGGCCACTAGACTGGCTAATAGTTTGATATGTTTACAAATAAACACAGATGCTGTTTGCTGATTACAAGGCAACTGACTGGAAGCAGTCCCTGAGTTGCATTACATCACATGGGCCTTTGTTCTACTTCTGTCAATTATGTGTGTTTATCTTTTT